CCATGAATAAAGCGCTAGCGGATGCAAGAGAATGGATTCGATCCCAACCTATTTGAATCAAACAGATCGACCACAACCTGCCATCCGCGAAGTGAATCAGGACAACGACACCGTGTTCCCCTTCACTGATGCAGCTTGGAAGACAGATCTGAACACAGCAGGGATCGCATGGATTTTCCAAAACCAGCAACAGAGAACCCTCAAATGATCATCCAGGGTGGAAGAGTTCGTCTCATCAGCTTTGATGGCGGAGGCCATAGCGATTCGGGGTGCTCTGCAACATGCAAAGTCCCTAAATAACTCAAAGCTCAGGCTTCACTCTGATTCTCAAACGCTCATCCGAGCAATTCGATCCGGTGACCAGATCGCCGAGATCTATGGCGTCCTTCGCGACATTAACTCTCTATCTCACTCTTTCTTCTCAATTTCCTTTCAATTTGTGCCGAGATCTACCAACCTATTGGCGAATGCTCTTGCAAAAGACACTCTTCGCAATTACTACCCTGTAACCGTTTAAGTTTCCTACATTCAACGAAATTAATAGGATGTTCAAAAAAAAAATGAGCTCCTCAAACAAAATATTTGATGAGCTCCTTAGTCGACCATAATCATCCGTTTTTTTAATCCTTGAAATTTATAAATTAATAACTCTATAAATTAATAAAATATCAAAATTTCAATATTATTAATTTATAGAATTTTTAATGTATATGGTTTTAAGTAAACTATGGTTTGCACTAATGTCTTATCCAATTCTCTCACTAGAAATAACATTATATTTGGACCATTTACTTTACTGATATATAACCATACCTACCATGTACTACATATCTAGGAAATCTTCCCCTTTTTTCTGACATCTAGGAACCCCTTATGTCGTATATTTTGTTAACAAAAATAACACTATTTTAATGAGGTGCAATAAAGAATGTGATTAGTAGAGAGTTTTATGTTCATGTGTGCGTTATGTTATAAAGAATGAAATCAAGGCACGAGCTTATTATAGTAGGTGTAACATCCCAGCTTTGGCTCAATCAGAAAAAGCCCAGCAAACTCAAATCCACTCCAGAAACCCTAGTATAAATAGGGATTTTAATGAGAAGGAGCCTCATTTTCATTCCCAAAGCCCTAGCCACCAAAAGAAAAAGAGAGGAAGAGAGAGCCCAGCTGCCGAGCACCAGCCGCCGCCGTCGCCGTCGCCTGAGAGGAGAAGAAGCCTTCGTCAGCCTCCTCCTTCTCAGAGGCTCCTTGATTCCTTTGCCTCTTCTAGCTCTCCCTAATCTCAGATCTGCATTTTGGCTAAGGTGAAGATTAGATCTAGGTTTTCTTTTCATTATTTTGTCTTCTTCTGATGTGTTAAGACTAGATCTGATGAGACTAGGATATATCATGTGCATTTAGGTAGATCCATATATATTTATATAACTAATAAAGATCAGGATCTCATTAGAGGAAGAACCATCATATTTTATTGTTCACCCTGTGATAACACCGTATTTTGACCATTTTTATGGATCGTTTTGAAATACTTTTTCTATGTTTTTAATTGCTTTTAAGTACTTTTATTACATTTTTCTATTATTTGTAGTTCCAAGACTCTTTTCAGGTAACTTAGGGAAAAGCTTAACAAAATGGATAGAAAACCAGATTTTAGCTCAGAGTCAAACCGTCAGAAGTTCACCCCTGATTGAAGGCCTTCTCACCGTCTGATCCAGCTCAAATTTGGAGACCTTAAAGATGGAAGTATCAGCTTTCCAGTGCACTTTACAGCTTGGCAATCCAACGGTTCAATCAAAAGATATGCGAAGAGCAAGATGTCCCGTAAACCAGCCGGCAAGCACTTCCACCCGCGGCCAACAAGCATTTTTCCGCGGTCAGGAGCATCCCGACCGCGGCAAACCACTCATCCACCGCGGCCATCAACCTCCGAGCCCAAAAGCCCATTTCTGAAGCCCACAATGATTCCCTCATTTGGAGAAACCCTAAGTGACGTCCAGAGAGGTCTTGAGCACTATAAATACATGTCTTAGGAACCCTAATCGATCATCTTCTATCTTTCTTATTGTTTTAGAATACCTGTTTTGCTTTAGCTTTTAGGGAGAGAGAGATTTGTTCTCTTGAACCCTTGTTCTTTCTTTTTCAATTTCGGTTTCTATTCTACTTCTTAATACTATGTCTTTGATTTCGTTCATTATGTCTGAGTAGTTTTATTGTTGGGATTAAGGGATTTTTGATGGGGATTTATATGTTCGGTGAGGATTCCATTGGCTATTGAGCTGAATCTTAGAACTTTTTCTTCTGAATTCGTTTTTACTGCATGAGAGTAGCGTCATGAACTACAATCTGATCCAGATGCTTGGTGACACGAAAGTGTTCATCAGGTATCAGATCTAGTTTGGGAGAGCAAAACAAACATAGGAGTGGAAACCTACCTATGGGCGATTTGTGAATTAGGACGAGTCTTAAACATAATGCATCTCTTCTCTTCCAGGGCCAGAGTGGAAACCTACTGGTCAGGGTTGAGAGAGATAGTTGTCTATGATCACGACAGTGGCGTATTCATACGTCCGTGACTCCAGTTCGAAAAGTTTAAGCTAAGATCTTACAAAATTTTCTCTCTAGCAATGTTTTGAATCGTTCGTACCCCTGAGAAAACTTCCCTGAACCCCAACGCTTTCTTCTCCATTGATTTACACCGATTTTCTTTAAAGCTTTAGTTCAATATTGCCTTTCCTTTTTAGTTCATTTTCATTTAAGCATTAGAATATCCGTTTTTATCATTTTTAGTTATTTTCGTTAAGTTTAGTTATTACGTCATTTAATTTCCGTATTCTCTTTTAATATTTCGTTTTTAGATTTTAAACACACTACCAAACCCCTACAAAACCGTTTTTGTTCTAGACTTCCTTACTTTAACTTATTTCAAAGGCTTTTTGCAGGAAAAGATCCTCCTTCCCTGTGGATTCGATCCCTAAATACTACAATCGATCAGCTGTGCACTTGCGGCTATTGATTTAAATTAGGGTAAAACTTGACACCCACGACACACCACCATCACCCTGATGTGTGGTTAGTGTTTGGTAGAAGTAACTAGATCAGGTGTCTGTCTCGGTTGAGAAGTGCCGAGTGCAGGCGTGTGTGCTGGGTTATGTGTCGTCTGTGTGACTGTGGCAGTAATCCATTTGTCTGGTGGAGTGACGATCTACGGGGCCTGTCTATGTGACCGCCGGTTTTACTGTCTGTGTGACAGGGTGAGATGTCGACCTGTGTCCGAGTGACAAGGTGGTTTGGCCTAGGTTGGTAGGTGGGACGGAGACTTCTCATTACTTGGTAATTGATTGTGCGCGCTAGAGTGCTTGTGTGATCTTATTGGATTTATTCTTGATATGTTGGTGGAAAATGAATGAGTGGGATGGGAGTCTGGTCTGGTTCTCACTGAATAATTCCTCAATTACTCACCCCCTCTCTTTTTAAATCATTTTCCAGGTGAATGTGATGAATGTGATTGTGATGATGTTTGGGAAAAACTAGACGAGTAGGTCTAGTGTGGTGTGCCTTCAGAGAGATGAATGAAGTTTTATTTGTTTTAAGAACTATTTCGTATTTTCTTTTAAGACAATATTTTCTATTTAATTCGGATTCATTTTCAGTATTTCATTTTTAATTGTAAAACTTGGATTTGGGTTTGGTTTTGGAATAAGAATAAGATGTTATTCAGAATTTATTGGTTTAGGATAGCTAATATCACCAGTTTAGTTTGGTTTCTTTTGAAACCTAGGATCGGGGTGTTACAGTAGACTTCTACGGTTATATGTCTGGCTTTTATGTGAATTAATCTTTGGTGAATGTAATTGTTTTTTATTTTATTTTGTCGACACAACTTGGTAAGAATATGTACAATTAAGTATGTGTCTAATGTTTGCCAAATAATCAGATCAGTTTGCATTGGTCGTAAGCTTGATGTGTAGTCCAAAACTATAATACTATTAAGTATGTGCACAATTTGTGTCAAATGATAATAATATGAACTTTAATAATAAGCTTTGGTGTATAGTTATTCGATCCTTGTGCATTTACATTTGGTTCTGGCTCCACGTGTCAATCCTCTACATGCTCGACATGCTCTATATCATCTACAAGCATAACAACTATGTACATGATAAACTCTCAAATCGTAAAAACAAAAAAAAAACAAAAAGTGTGTATCCGAAAATGGAAACAAATAATGAAAAAAATCTATAGGCCCATTGGTCGATCATGATAAACAAAAGAAAAAGAGAATTGAGTTGTGAGGTTATGGATGCCTGCTTCTTGAGAGTTGGACAATTAGGGCACGGAGGACCTGAGGAAATGGTGCCAGGCGGCCTGAGTAAAAAAATATCATACGTCGCAAACAACAACCCATCTCAAAACCGTAAGTTATATTCCATGCAAATCTTGAAAACCGTAAGTTATATTCCATGCAAATCTTGATGTCAATAGCAAGAATGTACATGAACACACACAAGACCACACCGCAGATGTCAATAGCAAGAATGTACACAAACATATTCAAGGCCACACTCCAGAGGCATCAGTCGTTAGCATCAGTTGTTGGAAATCACAGCAATTCTCCAATGAATCTGAATAGGTTGAAGGCTTGAAGCAGAGGATTGACCCGATGGTTTTGACTATGGTGTAAAGATCATTCCTTGAAACTTTTTGAAGATTGATCCTGACTTGAGGGCATCAGGAATCAAATAAAGTACAACAATGCTTAAGAGGCAATAGATGATTAGCTATGGAGTCCACTAGATCGACCAGATGCTAACGGAATTGAGCCCGAAGATGATTGCCATAAAAACCCAGAACCAGGCTTGACGTCTTGGGTGCTCCAGTTTCATTCTTGCAATTGCGTTGAGAGGCCTGTTTCCGTCGAAGAGAGAGAAAAGAACCGAAGAAGAGATACCTTACGCAAGGTAAAGTAATAGGAAATAGTTTGTTACAGAGAGAGAAAGTATGAAAAAGTGTTTCCATTCAAAGTAATGAACAATTACAGAGTAAGGAACGGAGATCGTTATACATCATTTTCTTGTGTTACAAGATAGCTTTTCTAACCAATGAAAAAGCTAAAACAACGAATACTATGAGGTGAAGCAGAAACAGAGCTTAAACCCTTAAAGAAGCAACCTAACAATAAGAATGGATATAACTCTTAAAATGTGTTCAATCTCAGAGTTATAGTATATGCATACATACACACCTTCTTAAATAGTCGGATTAGGATTAAACTTGACCGATTCTAGCCACACGAGCTCCTTAATCTCTTCTTCAGTGGAAGACGGGTTCTCAAAATCGAAACTGAAATGGTTGGAACAAACAGGCTCATCGTTAAGGTCATGAAGTGCTGACAAGAAAGGATGACACAGTGCTTCCTCAACTGCAAGAAAAAAAAAGAATGTTCCAGGATTAACAATCACCCTTATGCCAGTATTCACCAGTTTTCTATTCATACCCGTGATGCGTTTCTCTGGATCAAACACGAGCATTTTCTCCAGAAGATCGATAGCTTTAGAACTCATACTAGGAAACCTAGCTGAAAAGTTCTGCCTTGGGAACTTGGGTAGCTCTTTAACGTATTTTCTCGCGTTCTCGCTTCTGAGAAACTCTAGGCTCGTTCCATCTGGTGATCCTATCAACTTAAGTTTTGAAACCATAGAAGACAAAACGAAATTAAATTAACACATTGCATACAGATAGAAGTTCCCAGCAATAATTACGTAGATCATTCTAAAACATACCTCGGTTATAAGTTTAAGCTGGTGGACATAGTCTTTCCCCGGGAAAAGAGGCTCTCTTGTCATGATTTCAGCAAATATGCAACCAACAGACCAGACATCAATCGCAGATGTGTACTCGGAACTATTAAGAAGCAGCTCTGGTGCTCTGTACCATCGGGTTACAACATACTCTGTCATGAAATCTGTCTCAGATGTTGTCCTTGCCAAACCAAAATCTGCAATCTTTAGGTCGCAGTTTGCATTCAGAAGCAAATTACTCGGCTTCAGGTCACGATGTAATACATTAGCTGAATGTATGTATTTGAGTCCTCGTAGAATCTGATACAAGAAGTACTGCAAAACAAAGGAAGAGTGAATCAATCTTAGTAGCAAGTAGCCGAGTACAAAATATGAAAAGAGAGAAAGTTATGAATGTTGAAACCTGACAATGATCATCATTCAAGGGCTGGTCTGATCGAATAATCTGATGAAGATCAGTGTCCATTAACTCATAAACTATATAAACATCTACGAAATTCTCCTTCTTTGGAGGTCTGATGATATCTTTTATGATGACAACCTGTAGAAAATGAAGACCACTTCAGCTAGAATTCTAAGATCGTTTAAAGAAATTTCCACCAAAATAGAGTGGAAACTGGAAACCATACATTCTCGTGTTCCAAATGACGAAGTAGCTTAATCTCTCTCAATGTCCGCTTAGCATCGACTTTATTGTCAAAGGCTTGACCTATCTTCTTGATCGCAATCTCTTCGTGTGTCTCCGAATCTACTGCAGCACTAAAACAATATGGAATAGTCTCATGAATCATTTTCTTTTACATTATTCGGGAGAACACAAACGTAATATAATAAAACATGAATCCAGGAATATTCGTGTAAGTATACAAAATGTAGTTATCTCCTAAAGATTGTAGCTTTCTTCTTCATTACAAAAACAAAAAAAAAGACCATCTTTACTCTCTAGAGCATCTAAAACATAAGACTAAATCGATAAATCAACACGCAGAAACAGATTAATCTCATTTATCAATAGATACTTTCCAAATCTTGTATGCAAGAAGAGTGAGATGATGAAGTAAGGATACAACACTAAAGACCAACCAATCTCAACTACTGATAAATCATTAAATTCATTTAATTCAAAAGATGATTTGAAAGACGGAACCTTTCTTAATCCCAAACTAATTTAAGCTTAGTTAAGTTACAACTACTGAGAACGGAACAATACGGGGGCAAAAATAGAAATGCCCATATTAAGAAACAAACCAAGAAAACCCCTAAAGGAGAGAGAGATTACAAAAATTCGTACCAGACAAAGCCGTATGCTCCTCTACCGATTGGTCGAATAGGAGGAACATACTTGTTTGAAACTTCAAACATGTTTCCATAGACATTGTATTGGAAATATCTTCCTCCATGAACAAGAACCCCTTTGATGTTATTTTCACCTGGATCTGTCGCTGATTCACTTTCAGTAGCCATTTTCGAATTGAGATTCACAAAAGTACAAAACCCAGATTCTAAAGACAAAACCAGAAACTCTTCGCTTCGAACTAAAGATGAGATCGATCGTGTCTGCAGATAATTTTGTTTTCAACAAGAAAATTAAAAATTTTTGAGACTCAGGAGAGAGAGACTCGTCAAATGAAAACGACTCTTTTTTTTCAAGTTTGAATTTTTTTGAATTGGTCAGAGGGATCGTCGCACACCAATTCGTCACGTGTCCCTCGTAATAAATTCTGCTTAGCTGGCCGCCTGCCACCTAATACAGATAAGTAAAACTCTCTGGCCCGGCCCAACTATTTAATAGCAAGATATTGTATCAATTATTACGAGGCCAACGTAATTTTTGAGATTTTAATTAATTAGGAAGTGTAAAATAATTAAATTTTTTTAATTATTTTACATAAATAAAAAATATTTTATAAATGCATGATGATTCATCTATCTTATTTTATATATAAAAGATGGCTAATTCTCTTTATATGAGTAACACATCATCATTTTAAAATTAATATGGAGAGAACATGTGTCAAATTTTTAGTTTTACGTTTTAATTTTTAAAGAATATTAATTAATAAATTTTATATTAAGTTTTTAACTAGTAAAAAAATGAAAAGTTTTTTAATTGATTCTTAAATAACAGTTATGTAAATATTAAACAAAAATTTATGTTATTATTAATTAAAATATTGATTTTTTTTATAAACTCTTAATTTTTTAATAATATTATATTTTAAATTGATTGATTTATAATTATATATTAATACACAACAAATGATGATTATGTTTTTTTAATAAAAATAAAAATTACATTAATTTGAAATAATAATAAAAAACCTGCATATTACGTGGAGGTATTCTCCTAGTACTATATAAAAGATAACCAACTCTCTCCATGTAAGTGACACATAATAATTTTTGATTGATATGAAGATTACATGAGTCACTTTTTATAATTTAAAGTTAAATTTTTTCTAAAAGATAATAAAATAATAAATTTTAATATCAAATTTTAAACCATTCAAAAAAATGAACAGTTTTTTATTAATTGATTGATATTTATTTATTTTTATATAATTCTCAATTTTTTAATGATATTGTATTTTAAAATGATTTCTAAAATTTTTTTTAAAAATAAATTTCTAAAATTATTTATAATAACATATTAACACACATAACAAATAATAATTATATTTTCATTTTTGATTATATATTTTTTTAAATTGATTTCTAAGATTGTTTTCTTTTTTGGATAAATTTTTTTAAAACTATTTATAATAACATATTAACACATATAACAAATATGATTATATTTGATTTTATATTTATGATATTGCATTTTAAATTGATTTCTAAAACTTTTTTTTATATAAAATTTCTAAGATTGTTTATAATAACATACTAACACAGACAACAAATAATGATTATATTTGATTTTATATAAGATTTGGATATTTGTATTTTTTATGATATTTCATTTTAAATTGATTTTTAAGATTATTTTTTTTATAAAATTTCTAAAATTATTTATAATAACATACTAACACACACAAAAAATAATGATTATATTTGTTTTCATATAAGATTTGAATAGTTAAATAGAAAAATCTGCACATTACGTGCGGTATTCACCAAGTTATATTAAAATAGAAACACTTTTAATACTTGCTTCCAAACTTCGAAAGTTTTTTTTTTTAAATTTAAAAAGAGTTTTAAAATTATCCTAATTTCTTGTAATCTTATTTTAAAAAACATATTTTTAATATATAAATTTAATTCCAAAAATTAGATATTAATTTAGATGTAACTAAAAATTTCCTTAAATATAGGTTATATTTAATTAAAAATTAAAACTATATTTTTAATTAAATTTAATTTTGAAAAATAGATATTAATATAAATTATTTTAGACTTCCTTAAATATAGATCAGATTTAATTTAACATTTGAAATTTAAATAATATTTTCAGAATAAAAAATATGATTAACGAATATCTTACTATATTTTTTAATCATATTCAATCAGACTAAAATTTTACATATTAAAAACAGATAAATATTGATATTATATGGTAATTTGATGGGACGGATTAGGTTATTTTTATAATTGTTGTTTTATGCGGATTATGTTATCAAAACATGTGAGATATTAAGATAAATATTATTTTAAAATTATTAAATATTTATATTATATAGTAATGTGAACGCACGGGTTAGGATTATGGTTTTATAAATATGGTTCATTTTGGATTAATAGAATGAGTGAATTAGAAATATGTTTTTAAAATAATAGTTATTTTTTATTAATAGAATGATCGGGTTAGAATTATGTTTTTCTGATCGTGGTCATAATAATATTAAAAAAAAGTTTTTAAAAAATAAATTATATCTAAACATAAAATTAAAATTTGTCACTTATTAAAAAATATACTGATAAAGAAAACATAAATTACATTACAAATTTTGATTAAAACTTCTCGTGCGGATGCACGGGATAAAATCTAATATTATACAGGATCCGGCAGGATAAAAAAATATCATTGTGTTGTAACATGATTTTTGTGATTGACCAAAATATTCATTAATGCTTCTACATAAGAAAATCTGAGTTTCGATACTTAGAGAATTGTTTTTCGTGGTCGTGGATCTTTTATAGAACAGAGAGAATTATCCATTTTCGAATTGTCTTGTGCTTGTTTTGATAAATTGTTCGTAAGCTGATAAATGATTCCATTATTAAATATTTTGTATATCAGTCATAAATAAACTGATGGAATTGTACATTACAAATGTAGAAACAATACAGTTGAATCTGTTATTTTAGGTAAATTTCTTTTGTTTGTTGTCAATTATAGAATTTTGTATACAAGTTCATAAAAAATAATATAATATTTGTGAAAGTTCTCTTAGCCTACTGGCTAATGAGTTCATTAATGTTTCTACACCAGGAGATCTAGGATTCGAATCTCGGAAGATACGATTTATTATTGATTTGCAGATTAATGAAGACAAACTTATATGTAGGCGGGAGACTTGTCCGTTGTAATTGTCAATGTAATAGTTCTCATAATTTGTAATAGAATAATAGTTCAATGTTAAAAAAACAAATAATATATATACATGTTTGAACAAAAAAAAACATATGAAATATTTGCGGGATTTGGATGACATCTGGCTACTTTTTGTTTTGTTAATAAGGAAAATGTTAAACCAAATTAAACCCATTTACATTGCTCTGGCCAACCATAACTAAAAATCTGAAATTATTGTGAAAAAACATGAATCATAGTCCTCAACCAAAGGAGTAAATCCTCAACTAGTAAATCACCATAAATTAGTAAACAAAAAAAAAAATCCAGAAACTTCATAGACATCCAAATCTGGTATGAGATTCAGATTCTGATAGTATTTTGTCTTTAGGTATGGCTTAAGGCCTGTTTTATTTCACACTCTTACAAAATAAGATTTGAAATTCAGTAAAATAATTATGGTTGCATAGACTATATACCCTCATGTTTTCTAATGTTCAAGTTTATCAATGTAAGAAAGTTAAAGACTATAATTCTACTATCTAAAGTAATATTTTGTGCATCATCAATATCAGTATAAATTTATAACAAATATATATATATATATATATATTCTAAAATAGCATCATATTCAAATACGACATCAGATAATAGTTTGTTTGCTACTAAATTTTGTTAATTTTCGTGAAGTAAGAATATATGTAAAATTAGTTGTTCGACCGGCATTATTATTTGTACAAATCAGAGGAAATTAACTTATCTCCAAAAATTGGAGTAAATGTAATATGTCTTAAGTTTTAAAAGACAAAGAATATATAAAATAAAGTGAAAATACCAAATCTATATCAAATTAAGCATCCCCAACTTATCTACAAGATTGGAAATATAGATCATTCTCTGAAGACTACATAAACTTATCTACTCTCTATGGTTCACCACAAAAATTTAACAATCGATCTTTTGACAAAAGGATTTGTTATTATCTTTATAATCGTTACCATTTTGAGTAAAATTTGAGAGACTCTGCCTTTGGCATAATGCTCCCAAGAACACCGTTTACTTGTATGTTTGACAGTAGATCCGTTTAGTTTTATCTATCTACTCGTTTTTTATAGCGTATGTATTTTAGAAACATAATTATATTGGTATTAAAGAAGTTTCGATATTTCTAAAAGATACATGTTTGACCCGACTTTTTTTTTTGGTAAACCTGCTGAAAGTTTTAGTCAGAGACTTCATAATTAAAAAAATTAATGTAGGACCTGGTAATTTTTCAAGTATAAGTACGTGAAACGTATCAAGTTTGTGAAACATAAAATAAAGAAAGATCGAGTGAAGTTAAAAAAAAATCGGGTAAAGAAGAAAAGAACAATCGTTTAAAATATCTTTGAGAAAAATATAAAAAAATTCAAACAAAGGTAGTATACTAATTTTTCTGTTTTTATTTTATCACTATTCATGGTACTTTATTGTCTTAGAATTCACAAAATCTACATTTTTCATTTTTTTTTGTCGAGTACATAATATCTTAATTTACATTCTTTACCTAATAAAAATTTTACTCGTTGTTTTTCGAGATAAGTTTTTTATTCTTCTGCTTTATTCAAACTCATGGTGGTGATTACATAGAACAATCTGATTTAACAAACAACAAACATATTTCTATGCAAATGTTAAGAATATTTTTAAATAAATGAAAAAAAGAATTAACAAGCTAATTTATGCACAATTAAAAAATAACCTACAAAATTTCTATAACTTTTCAGTTAAAGTACCATGTAAATCAAAAATTATTTAGGCTTTGTTGATTTTTTTTGTGTTATGATCATATATCGGAAGTAGGAGTTAAAAACCAGTGTTTGAATAAGAGCTGATGGCGAATAACCAAGTTATGGATGCAGAATATGAATTTCCAGGTATAGATAATTCAAAAGTCGATTTAAGTTTTTAATTTATCAAGATTATTCATTAATAATTATGTTTTCTTTTTTGTTTAATAGTTGAGAGCTATTTGTATGATGAGTTGTGGAAGCTATCTGCTGGACCTTTGTTTGATCTTCCAAAATTTGGAGAAAAAGTTTATTACTTTCCGCAGGGACACATTGAACATGTGATTTTATTTCTGATTATTCATCCTTCTAAGTTTTATGTTTTTTTCCTCTGTTTTAGTTTGTGAAACTTTATATGCAATTTGATGGTATTTTCAGGTTGAAGCACATACAAAAGATGAATTATCTCAACTGAGACCAATTTTTGATATTCCTTCGAAAATTGGATGCAATGTTATGGACATTCAACTTAAGGTATACCTCTATGATATTGATGTTTTTTTTCAGAGAATACATATGAGTTATTGGATTAAACCATCAATAATATTAAATTTTTGTATGTATTATATCATTATAAATAAGTAATTTATAACCTTTTTTATTTTAGGTGGAGAACGAGACAGATGAGATTTTTGCAAAAATTGCTTTGTTACCAGATACAGCTGTGAGTGGCAAATTTCAAAATTTTATTATAATTTCATAATATTTTTTTCTAATCCCTCTTAAATGATTTCTCTAATTTGGAATTCTCTAGGAAGTTGAAATCCCTATTTCTAATGTCAATCATGAAAGGAGAAAAGTTAGTTCTTTCATAAAAGTTTTAACTGCTTCTGATACTAGCACACACGGCGGATTATCTGTAATAAAAAGACATGCTGTCGAGTGTCTTCCCCCATTGGTATTTTCACTTAGTTTCTCAACCTAAGAAAATAACTTAGTTTCTCAAATTGTAAGTTTCCATATGAATTTTTCTTTAGGATATGTCTCAGCCGACACCAAGTCAAGAAATAGTTGCTAAAGATCTTCATGGTTGTGAATGGAGATTTAAACATGTCTTTAGAGGTGATGAATATTTTTTCATATCAAACTTTTTGATTAGTGATTACTGACCTTTCATTTATCTGCAAACAATCAATTTAATAGGCTCTCCATTGAGGCATATTTTCACAACTGGTTGGAGTGCGTTCGCGACATCGAAAAGATTGGTCACTGGTGACTCTTTTATATTCCTTAGGTATATATATTATATTTCCTTTTAACATCTTTTTTGTTTCTTGGATTTTGGACTTTAACTATGTTTTTTGTTCTAGAGGAGAGAATGGAGAGTCACGAGTTGGAATCAGAAGAGCAGTTCATCAACAACGCAGTATACCTTTATCGATAATTTCAAAAGAGATTATGCACCATGGAATAACTGCTTCGACAATGAATGCTATTAATACTAAATCTATGTTCATTGTATATTGTAAGCCAAGGTAATGAAACAAAAAAAAAAAAGGTTTGTTATTCTAGTGAAAACATCATGGGATCAGTTTCTTAAACAAAAATGCTTATATTTTTGTGATTGCTATAATGTTATCAGGTCGAGCCAATTCGTCGTCAATTTCGACAAAGTTGTAGATGCAGTGAACAATAAATTTTATGTAGGTTCAAGATTTACGATGCAGTTTGAAGATTATGATTTTACAATTATAAGGTATAACTTGAACACTTAATTCATTTTTATTTCTTTCCAAAATATGATTTACTAAATTTTGCTATTGCTTTCTTTGAAAAAGATATTCTGGAACAGTAATTGGCAAGAAAGATTTATGCTCTCATTGGCAGGATTCAGAATGGCGATGCCTAGAAGTAAGACTCTCCGTAGAACCACTTATTATGACATTATAATAGAATATCATTCCAAAAGAGTAATAAATATCATTCACTAACTCTGTTTTTTGTAGGTGCAATGGGATGAGCCTGCATTAATTCCAAGACCAAATAAGGTTTCACCATGGGAAATCGAGCATATGGGATCTTTATCAAACGTTCACCAGTCAGCTTTGCTCAAAAACAAACGTTCACGCAAAGCTAAAGAAACCAGTAAAACAACATTTTTAATAAGGTAAAACTTAATAATGAAAGCATTCTCATTGGATTTTTGTTTATAGGTTCAAATCTGTGGAATCCTACATTGACTCAAGGCCAAGAAATTGGACAGTCAAGCACGAATTTTTTGATGACTGTTCCTCAGCTTAGTTATTGTGACGCAACTGATGATTCAAAAATTCCATCTGGTTTGGCGATCAGCTACTCAGTCCCTACCATGTCCAAAACAAACTATAACAACCAAATGGTTATGTCAATGAAAGAAAAGATGACAACTGCTGCCACCACTGCTAATAACAGATTGTTTGGAGTTGATCTGACGTCTCCAAAAGAAATAGAAGATCCTATGAGACAGACTGAGGAAAACAATTGTGACCAAATCCGAACCCAGACATCGCCAAAAGAAATCCAAAGCAAGTCTACTAGAAGCCGAACCAAGGTATGTATTTAAAATCATAATTTTTTAGTGTATAACTAAACATAGATACAATTAAAAATTATCGTTGGAAAAAAAAGATACAATTAAAAATTATCTTTATTAAAAGAAGAAATTGAATTAAATTTTAATATACAAAAGAAATGTTCATACTTTAAAAAAAAGAAATATTAAGATGACTATGGTTAGTTCACATGTTTTTGATATGGTTATTGAACAGGTTCAGATGCAAGGTGTAGCCATAGGAAGAGCTGTGGATTTAACTATTCTTGATGGATACAATCAGTTGATCGACGAACTGGAGAAACTCTTTGATCTCAAAGACGAGCTGCGTACACGCAATCAATGGGAAATAATTTTCACTGATGATGAGGGAGATATGATGCTTGTTGGAGATGATCCATGGCCGTACGTTATTTTTTATCTCTTTCTCTATCTCTCTCTAAAATCTTGGAAATATTTTTATTGAGAATGGATGATTTTGTGTGCAGTGAGTTTTGCAACATGGTAAAGAAAATGTTTATATGCTCAAAAGAGGAGGTCAAGATCATGAAATCAGGAAAGAAATTCTTGGAAGGTGATTCAGCCTTAACCGCAGCAATGTTAACATGTTCTGATGTAACACCTGACGTCAAAACAGGTAATAACCTCTCTAATTAAAAAGAAATCAGCAGAATGGAAAAGAGAGTCAAGATTCAAAGCAGAGATTTTTTTTCAAAAAAAAAAAGAAAGTTGTTTGTTTCATAATGTAATAAGTAAAGGGGTGACATTTATCGTTTACAAATGTCTTTTTCAATTTTTCTATCTTTTGTTTTTGTTCAGCATGTTCATTGTTGTTGTTTTTCTTTTATGTTTATTGTTGTTTGTGTCTGTAATATATCTGTTTTATCTTTCATAAATAATTAATAAAAATCCCCTTATTGTCTTGTTATAGCTTTTTTTCTTTTGAATGCATATCATTATTTCTACTTGATCATGTTATAGTTTAACAATTTGAACGTGATATTGTTTGAGGGTGTTTTTAAAGAAATTTTATGTAACGCTTGAATATAGATTTATTACTCTGTACTTTTTAATACTTGCCATTTAATTTGTCAAGTTAAGTTTCTAGGTTTCCAATATTTTAATAACATAAGTATATGATTGAAAGTAGAACGTTACATCGACTCAATATTATTTACTTGTCTCTTTTGGTTACAATAAGAAAATTTGTATTGCACCATTCCTTAGAGTATGGTGCAAATATATGAACGGTTTTACTCTATTCAAAATTTTTGTAAAAGCAAATAATTGAACTTGAAGATTTGACATCAAAAATAATTGAAAAATAAATTCGAATATAACAGCATTTAAAAAAAAAAGTATTTAAGATTCACCATATTTAAGTGATTGAAAAGTGTAAAAATAAATGTATCAAAGACATTTAGCTTCTTCTTGCTGTACAAGACTATATAGCCAAGTTTGTACCGATTACCACAAATCCACGCTGCTGCTCTCATCGGACACATCCTTAATGCTTTCCTCTGCCCCAACTTTGCTCAATTGCCTTGCTGTTTGTTCCGAACTTCCAGTCCTGCAATTTCCTCTTTCTTTCTCTTTATCCCAATTTCTATTGGTAATATGTCTTTCTGTATGAGTAATTTATCTCTCAAGAAAGTTTAATTGTTAGATTGACTATCTATTCCTCAGAAAAAATATGGATGATATACCAGATATCCACGAAACTAAAATCTGGTGCTAAATCTCCCTAAAAACAAAGTTTTAAATGTATATTTTCCCGAATTAAAAATTTGAAACCTAAAAACACACAAATTGATACTTAGAAACCTCAGAACACACGATCAATTTTATTCAGTTTATTATTTACCAATTAATTGTTAACCAACTAAGCTCGATACTGAACCAAGTTAAACCCAACTTAACCCAAAATAAACCTGACCAATCCGAAATAAAACGACCCGACACCACTTCTTCTTTTTTTTCTTCCCCTGTGACCCTGTCATCTTCTTAGTCTCTTTCATAAAGTGTGAGAATCTGAAAAGAAAAAAAAAATAGTATGTAATAAAGCAAAAATTAATAACGCCAAATAGAAATTAAGAAGTTAAATAGAGGAATAGATTTGTTCGGCGAGAATGATTTTTCATCTTAGGAGACAGAGAGCTTGTCTTCTTCTTTTCTGGGAAATCGAAAGATGGTTGAGATCATAAGTAGACTGAAGACGGTTTAGAGTTTCGTAATGACGAAAAATATCTCACCTTTTCATTTCAAATATGATTTTCTTTCAGTCTCATTCTATTTAACTGTTAATTGTTAATCCGTTCTTCACTGAATGTGAGATATTGTTTTTCGATTTCTCCAGCTAAACTTCTGGCCCAACCTTCTAATTCTAACTTCTCTGTCACTCTAGTTACTTTGGCAAAAGCTCCAACATCAGCCTAAGCTCGAAAATCTCCCTCACCTGTTTCACCAATTTTTTCCGGCGAACCTTCCGTCAATGACACAACCTTCAAAATCTTCTTCACCTGTTCTATTTGGTTGGTTAAGCAAAGTCTCTGACTTCTGTTCTGAGACCTATTTTTATGAGTTTTACTGTTAATTACATATTTATGGTAGACAAGACTTTAATTTGAAGCACAACGAGTTTTATTTCAAATTCTTAGTAACTACGATGAAGAAGAAGAAGTCGGGTCGTCGGGCTAATGTTTCGGGTCGAGTTAAATTAGAATTGGGTTTTAGTTCTGTCTAAGATCATGTTTGGTTGTTTTTGTTTTGGTTTGTAAATAATAACTAATAATTAATAAATAAAAAAATTGATTCAGTGTTTTTTTAAGTTTCGAACTTTCAATTCGTTGAAATATAGATTTAGAACCTTTTTCGGAGAGATTTAACACAATGTTTAGTATGGAGAACATCTGGTATTATACAATACCTTTTGTGAGAAAATAAAATTTTGCTTGTTTTGTAAAATTTGTTATATTATGTTGTTAAAATTTGGAACTTGTAAATGAGATTTGACTAAATTCTTATGAAAAGAATATTAGAGGATAATACCACTAACAATAAATATAAACAATTAAAGAGAACTATAGCGAGCTGATAAGTTTATGCTTAACAATAAACCTTTTTAATATTATAGGTTTAGTCTGAGGGATAAAACTTTTAATGGATTTTCAAGTGGTTTGTACGAGAGTTAATTGTTAGACAAAAGTGCCGCTCTAAAAACAGAGCAATCCATAAGACCAGAGAACAAAACAAACAAAACCAAATAAATCATTTCCGATATACAGAGGACGAAATCGGGATATCCGCCTGAAAGAAATCTTTCAGCCACGACGGCGCACCAAATATAAATGTTAGACTTCTAAATATAAGAAATAGTCTACATATAGGTTCTGATTGGTAACCTGCGGAATGGCAGAATTGCGTTTTTAAATACAATTCCGCAGGTTTTTTTGCCAATCAACAAAAATTCTCGTAATGAAAAAATACACACAAAAACGCAGATTGCGTTTTTGCTTAACAAAAATACAAAGGAAAAGTCATTTCGCAGCGACTTATAAGTCGCTTAATCTATTCCGCAAGATTTTTTCCACAATTCCGCCATTCCGCAAAGTTACCGATCAAAGCCATAAATCATATTAACTACTTTTTTATACTAAGAAAACCATACACCTGGAATACAAATTTATTAGTGTGTGTGCATAACCGCAATGATAATTAACTAAGTGATACACTATCGAACATTCCTTAATTTACCCCAATCAAATCAACATACACTCCCTCATATACAGTATAACCATACAATATAATCATCGGCACAAGTAAAATCACTTACAAAAACACATCAATAATATAAATATATCCCAATAATTCAAACAACCCACATTTGGACAGTTATTTGCAGCGGCAATCTCCGACAACAATCCCAACTACTATCACTAAATGATTTTATCTTTAATTTGGCCAATCATGCTAAAAGTTATATAGTAGTGGCAGATCCAATACACTTTTTACTTTTATCATTGATATTCTCCAGTCATCACTACTTGGCTTAAGTCGATATGGCAATCAATCTTCCGAGCTTTAGATCTTTAACATGATTCATGCTTATAATATGCGACTCATGTACGTTACTGGCTTTTTGTTTCTCAAGCTTTTATTTGTTATTTTCATGATATCTATCTGCAGCCATCCTAAGGAGAAATAAGAAAGACATTGTTTGGACAGATTTTTCGTAGATTTTTTTGGTAGCTAGAAACTTCGAATTCAGAAACTTCTTTGTGCTTCTTTATTGTGAATCGAACACTGTACAACAAACAAACTTATGCAGAATGATAACAACTGATGCAAGTATTTGCATTGACTTTTTAAACTGACACAACATACTTGTAAAATTTTCTTTGTATTATTTAAAACTGATGGAAATTTACAAAATAAATGATACAGTGGGTCCTATTTGTTGTATTATTTGTTTTTTAATCGTCAATATGTTATCATAACAGATTTTCTTAGATCAATATATATCGCATGACCAAACATTAAAAATTTAAATATAGTAGTGATCGATCCAATTTTTAAATTTTCTTCTTTCGAAATTTTTGGTGAAAGGTTTAATTTCTGGGGCAATCACGCACATGCTTGCAACAGTTGGTTTTCCCACTTGTTAAAAGAAAAAAGAAAAGCAAATTCTGAGTACTATAAAAACGTGTCATTTGTAAGCCAAATTATACAACACAAAAACCTCCTCTCTTCTTTTTGTTTTTTTTCAACTTATAAAAAAAAACAAACACAAACCAAAGTTTCATTAGTTTTGAACCCCAAAAAGAAAATGGGTAGTGCTAAATCAGCCTTGCTGATCCTCTTACTAGCAATGGTCATCGCATCTTGTGCCACGGCCATGGACATGTCCGTCGTTACATACGATGATAACCACCACGTGACCGCCGGTCCTGGCCACCACGTGACCGCCGGTCCCGGCCGCCGCAATGGAGTTTTCGATGTCGAGGCATCGTTAATATTCGAGTCATGGATTGTCAAACACGGGAAGGTGTACGATTCCGTTGCCGAGAAGGAACGGCGTTTAACGATTTTCAAGGACAATCTCCGTTTCATCACTAACCGGAACTCTGAGAATCTCGGTTATCGACTCGGTTTGAACCGGTTTGCTGATCTATCTCTACATGAGTACAAAGAAATTTGTCACGGGGCTGATCCAAAACCACCTAGGAACCACGTGTTTATGAGTAGTAGCGATCGATACAAGACTAGTGCTGGTGATGTGCTTCCTAAGTCCGTTGACTGGAGAAATGAAGGTGCCGTGACTGAAGTAAAAGATCAAGGCCATTGCAGTAAGTGTTGTGATTTTAAAGATTCGATCGGTTTGCTAAAACTTTTTTTATTATATATATATATATATATATAAAATTATTAAAATATTAAAAACAGCTGAACAACGGTGTCTCTTGTGCTATTTATAAGGATTTTATTTGTCAAGAATAATAAATATTATTTTCCTGTTATATGTTACATTTGATTACTATAAAACGATTCAATCCATTTTAGCTAAAAATCATTGTTAAAACTGATATATTTATATAAGTATATCACCAGTTAGGCCACACCGGATATGAAAACGTTAGTGTTAGTTAAAAGAAACCAAG